CTTGCCTACTTACATTCATTTTATATTATTTAAATTCGAAAACAAAAGATTCAAGTTCGAATATTTCTCTTCTTTCTTATTTCAATGATATTATTATTTCAAAGATAAGAATATATATAAAGTCAAAATTATATTTTTGTGAAATGAATATGTTATTAGCAACAAGAGGAACAACAAGTTCTATTTCAACAATTTTAAAGAAATACATAAATAAAAATAGAATACTCAATCATGAATAAATGCAGGCAAATAATTCCTCCTTCTTTTCTATAATGTAAACAAAAAAACTCTATGTAAGTAAAAATTGATAACAAAAAGAAAAGAAAGGAGCAATAGCAACCTCTTGATAGAACAAGAAAATGATTATTGTCTTTCTTTGAAAACCTCCTATAGACTAGACTGGGATCTATCCATTGGTAGATGGAGCTTCGATAGTGCTAGGTCTAGAGGGAAGTTATGAGCATTACGTTCATGCATAACTTCCATACCAAGGTTAGCACGGTTAATGATATCGTTCGGGCGTTAATTACACGACCTTGACCGTCGACAGATTGGTTGAAATTGAAAATTACTTGTGCTGGAAAAGCCATAGTGCTTATTACCTAAAGCGGTAAACCAGATCTCTACTACAGGCCAAGCAGCTAGGAAGAAGTGTAACGAACGAGAGTTGCTGAAATTCAGTATATTGAAGATCAATCGGCCAAAATAACTATGAGCGGCTACGATATTATGTATTCTTCCTCTTGACCGAATTTTTGTAACCTTCATTAGCAGATCTATTTTCTGTGGTTTCCTGATCAAACTTTGAAGTTACCAAGGAACCATGCATAGCACTGAATAGGGAGCCGCCGAATACACCAGCTACGCCTAACATGTGAAATGGGTGTATATGATGTTGTGCCTAGCCTGGAATACAATCATGAAATTGAAAGTACCAGAGATTCCTAGAGGCATACCATCAGAAAAACTTCTTGACTGATTGGGTAGGATCAAGAAAACTGGGTGGTAGCAGCTGCAATAGGAGCTGAATATGCAATAGCAATCCAAGGTCGCATACCCAGACGGAAACTAAGCTCCCACTCACGACCCATGTAACAAGTTACGCCAAGTAAGAAGTGTAACAACTAGTTCATAATGACCACCGTTGTATAACCTTCATCAACGGATGCTTCCAGATTGGGTAAAAATGTAAACCTATAGCTGCAGAAGTAGGAATAATGGCACCGAAATAATATTGCTCTGTAAAGTAGAGAACCTGAAACAGGTTCACGAATACCATCAATGTCTACTGGAGGAGCAGCAATGAAGGCACAATAATACAGAAGTTGCCGTCAATAAGGTAGGGATCATCAAAACACCAAACCACCCAATGTAAAGACGGTTTTCTGGTGCGTTATCCAGTTACAGAAGCGGACTCCCATAGGCTTCGCTTCGCGTCTCTCTAAAATTGCAGTCATGGTAAAATTCGGGTTTATTTAATCATCAGGGACTCCCTACACACGAGTTTTCTACAAATACAAATAGAAAATGGAAGGCTTGTTATTCAACAGTATAACATGACTTATATAATGTGTCAAATCCAAGGTGTATGTGGAACTATTCAAATTTTTAATGAAGTTGATTGAAAAATACGGACTTCTACAGAGAATTCAAAATTTGATATAGATAGCGGGGTTGCCCGGGATTCGAAACCTGAACTAGTCGGGATGGAGTAGATAAGTTCCTTGTTAAATAAAAAAAATGTTAATCTTAAATTAAATAAACAAGTAAAGATCCCTCCCAAGCCGTGCTTGCACTTTTCATTGCACACGGCTTTCCCTATGTATACATCAGTTCCTTTCTTATATAAATTAGAAAGACTTTAAAAAGTTGAATACTCAGTTGATTTACCCCTTATTACTATTACAATCAACATTTCAGAATAGTTAAAATTTTTGATCTCTTCATCATTTAGAAAATCTAAGAATGAATCATTGATAATTCGCCAGATCATTGATACAAAAATATCCAAATACCAAATCCGACTTTCTATATACTCCCACAAACCAGACAAGTCAGGAAGGTCAAAGAAAGAACCTGTTCTTCCGACGTTAAGAATTCTTCCAATAATTCCAAGCCTGATCTTTTCAAAAAGTGCGTACAGTACTTTTGTGTTTCCGAGCCAAAGTTCTAGCACAAGAAAGTCTAAGTATATACTATTCGATATAAAGTCTTTTTTGGAAGATTCACTATAATAATGAAAAGATTTCTGCATATACGCCCAAATCGGTCAATAATATCAAATCTGATAAATCGGACTCAAACCGGTTTACTAATGGGATGCCCTAATACGGTACAAAAGTTTGCTTTAGCTAATGATCCAATCAAAGGAATAATTGGAACAAGGGTATCGAACTTCTTAATTGCATCATTGATTAGAAATGAATTTCGAACATTTGACTACGTACCATTGAATGATTTAGTCGCACACTTGAAAGATAGCCCATAAAGTCACTGGAATGGTTGGATAATTGGTTTATATGGATCCTTCCTGTGTGAAAGCACAGAGAAAAATGACATTGCCAAAATTGACAAGGTAAAATTTCCATTTATTCATAAAAAGAAACGGCACTTTTGAAGCCAGAATTGATTTTCCTTGATACCTAACATAATGCATGAAAGGATCCTTGAATAACCATAGGGTAACCTGAAAATCCTTAGCAAAGACTTCTACAAGACGTGCTATTTTTCCATAGAAATATATTCGTTCAAGAAGGGCTCTAAAAGATGCTGATCGTAAATGAGAAGATTGGTTCCGTAGGAAGACGAAAGTGGATTCGCATTCATATACATAAGAATTATATAAGAAGAAGAAGAATCTTTTATTTTTTTTGAAAAGGAGTAACCGGGCTTCTTTGAAGTAATAAGACTATTCAAATTCCAATATTCGTGGAGAAAGAATCGTAATAAATGTAAAGAAGAGGCATCTTTTACCCAATAGCGAAGAGTTTGAACCAAGATTTCCAGATGAACGGGGTAGGGTATTAGCATATCTAATACATAATTTAGATGTGAAAAATTGTCTCAAAAGGAAATGTTGAATGAATTGATCGGAAGTTGCGAGATTTGAAAATCTTTTTGCCTTCGAAAGAAGATAAAGAAGATATTAATCGTAGAGAAACGGCATTTCCATAATAAATGGAAATCCCTCTGATATCATTTGAGAATACAAACTCTTGTTGCACCTCAAAATGGATTTTTGTTAGAATCATTAGTAGAAATAATAAAATGATTCTGTTGATACATTCGAGTAATTAAACGTTTCACAATTAGTAAACTAAATTTATTGTTATAACCTGATTTTCCAACAAAATCAACCTATTTCTATTTAAACCATGATCATGAGCAAGTGCATAAATATACTCCTGAAAGATAAGTGGATATAGGAAGTTGTGCTGTTGCGAGCTATCTGGCTGTAAATATCTTTGGATTTCTTCCATTTGAAATTCTATTTGAACCAAAGATGGAAGATTTTGAGGGTTATCAAATGATACATAGTGCGATACAGTTAAAACAAAGTATTTATAGTAAGAATAGATACCTTGGATACAGGTAAACTTTTATCAAACGGATTCTCTATCATCTCTTTTTTTTTTTCGTTCTTTATTTAATTGGTCTATGTTATAGTGTTATAGGATAATAAGATGGTTAGAAATCTTTTATTTTTTCAACCTAATCGCTCTTTTGACTTCGGAAAAAACTTTCTTTATCAATATACTTTTCTCACACACACATCTCCATAATAGAAAATGGTAATAGTTAGATTCATTAAAAATTGGAGAATCCACTCATGGGACAAGAAACCCTTCCCGCATCAGGCACTAATAAATTTTTAACGTCTAATTAGATCGGGAATCATTCAAATTCAAGAACAAAGCTCGTTGCTTTTTCTTTTCCCTATAATTCTAATTCTGAAGCCGCAGCCCTATCCATTTATTCATTCGACCCAACTTTATTTTGTTCCGTCTCCAAGAATTTCAACACGGTTTTATACCCATCTAGGAACAATGAAATATTTGCAGAACTTTCCGTTGATACGACATGCTATTTTTACCATTCATTCCCTTCAGGATCAGTCGTGGTCTTCCAAACTTTACCGAGAGTATGGACGAATCCTCACTTCATCCATATGTGTAAAAGACACTAGCCACACTTAAAAGCCGAGTACTCTACCGTTGAGTTAGCAACTCCGAAGAAAATATTGAAAAATTGTGTGTGATCCAATCCGAAGAAAAAGAAATAAGAGATTAGACAAGACAACCAAACCATTGAAAGAAGAAATCTCAAAAATACATTCACACTTTCTACTTAATTTAAAACCTAAAACTACTTAATTTAAAACATAAAATAAAACTAAATAGATCCACTTCATTTATCACAATGAATTATATTTGTTCGATAATGCTGTCAATATGCAATATTGAATATTGAAAAAAAAACAAAAGAAATTTCAATTGAAAACAATAAAAGAGCAAAAAAAAAAGGACTTGTGTTGGATTGGCACTACAAATCGAATCCAAATAAAATAGATACAAAAAGTATAGATGGGAGAATAAATAAAGAATAAGTGGAAAACAAAACTACAATTTACTTAGATTTATTGAATCCATAATGGATTCAATCAAGTTAAGTGAGATAAGCAAACTTGATTTCTTTTTAGCTTTAGTAGAGTTCCAATGAAAAACGGAAAAACCACCCAATTGAAGGAAATGTCCGAATTTTTTATTTTGCAAGATCAATAAAAATCAGATGTTTTGTCGTTATAGAACACGGAATTCAATGGAAGCAATGATAAATAAATACAAATAGAAAAGGAAAGGGAGGAAATACACAAAAATAGAAGAGAAAAGTCATACAAAGTTATATACAAATCACTACCCCCTTTTTTTGTATTTCCTTAATTTATTTCCTTAATTGAATTTCGGTTGATTAGGACGAAGTTCCTTAAAACCTCCGCCTTC